GTACTTTGGGTTATGATCCGATACTTCATTTTGCTGCTTAAATTATTCCACCTTCAACCACGGGAAGCTCTTTCAGTTGGCTCCTATACCCCCCATGGCTGACACACCCCAGTCAAGCACTTCCTTACTTTCTGACACTATAAGGCGCTCCAGGCTTATCTTGCGTATTTCTTGCTCTAGTCCTGGAATCAGCTATTTCTCCTGGGAGCCTTGATTCCTTTTATTAAAGAATGATATCAGAACCAAGATTTGGGCACTAGGTGTGCTCATTGCTACTGATGTATCATTTCTTCTAGGCACTCTCAGCTGACAGAGCAAGGAAATATATATGTGTATACTAACACATTATGTACCCATATCTATAAATGTTTCTACCTATAGCCATCTGTATTACATTAAATAAAAGTTTATCCTGATATCTCCAACTCTGATTCATTAACACATGGATCATTCTAGCCCCCTCACCTTCCTTACCTGGAAATTCCCACTCCAACAGTAGGAAACCAGGCTCTCACAATCTGCCAACGTTTGCTTAGTGTTCACTTCTGGTACACATGGATAGCAGTATCAGAATGCTTAACCTGTATGCCTATGGGAAACAACTTTAGCAGTTAGAGTGCAGTGCTTACAGGCAGTTCCTTTTACCTTTAGTCTTATGGGACTCCTTTTATTTCCAGAGTTACAAAGGTCAACCTTTCCCCCATCCCCCACTCTGTGAGATTTTTTAAATACCTTCGTAATGCAGTTAGATTCTCTTTTCCCAGTCTGCCTTCTTTCCTGGGATCCACCAACCTCCTAAATGATTTATTTTTATTTGCATATATCAAAGTTCACTCTCCATACTATGAGGTTCAGTGACATACCTGAACCAATTTTTGGTTATCCTGTAGTAACAATTATAAGAAAATTATTTTGGCATAACCCATATATAAAAGTGATCCAATGCTGAAATTACTTTTTAAATTTTAAAAAGACAAAACATTAGTTATTCAGGACACTTTAAACATGGTAATAATTCTCATAGCTGATTGCTCATCAATTCATAAAAGAGCTATCTTTTGACAATAAACTTGAATGAAATGTTTGCTAGAATTATTGAACAAAGCCTTTGTTGACTTATGAAACATTTATTGGATGTCACTTACCTGTGACAGTGGTTGGCACTGAAGATGCCAACAATACTGAGATCTGACCATTGCAGGACTGTGTATGGAGTGCATGGTTAGCGGTGTGCAGAGGCTAATGTGGAAGCAGAGTGGAGAGCCACCTATACCACCCCAGTGGGGCTGGGATGGGGTTTGGGAGTGCCTGGACTGCAGTTTAAAGGAGAAGTTACCCAGAGGGAAGCAGAGAGTGTGAAAGAACCATTCAGGACGAGAAGATAGACTAAAGTTGCCCAACGGTTTTGGTAGCATGATGTGTGTAGGAAACTACTAGAAGTCACATGTTGTTCAAGTTAAAAATGGAAGGTAGGGTTTGTTGAAAACATCAGCCAGAGAAATAGGCAAGGACCAGATAAAAGAAGGCTTGTAAGCCACAGGTTTATCCTCTGGTTAATTGGGAGCTCCTGAAGGTTGAAAGCAGAAGGGTGACATGGTCAGGGGAATAGAAAAGGATGGAGTGGAAGGGTCAGTAATAGTAGACAGACAAGAGGCCAAATACCCAAACTATCAAAGAGCAGTCATTGAACTTGAGAGCTAAGAAATGACTTAAGGAGCGTCCTTGAGATGCTAGAAGTCAAGTATAGGGAGCACCAGTTTGAACAGTGAACCTTAGTATTTGAAGGAGGGTACCATGCCTTTTAAAAAGAATTCTGGGAGCACTTGGCTGGCTCTGTTGGAAGAACATGCGACTCTTGATCTCAGGGTTGTGAGTTTGAGCCCCACATTGGGTGTAGAGATTACTTAAATAAATAAACTTCTTAAAAATTTAAAAATTAAAAAAAAAAGAATTCTATAGAGAGGTGATTTGGAACATACAGAAGTCTGTAGGAATTTTCCATAGTCAAAGCTATTATTGGTACCAGAAAAATTAATGATACGGTTAATTAATACAGGGTACACAGAATGAGCAAATATGTATAAAAGGTTCATAATAAAATAGACCAATCCTACACACCAGGAAAACCTTAAACTAAGAGAAATTGCTCACCATTCTAGATCAATTTGACCAAGGAAGAAATACAGATTATTATCTTTTATTCAATCTATAAGGAATATTACTAGTAGAAATGATATTTTTAAAAACTCAAAACAGCCCGAACTGTTCACCATAAAAATTTATCATAGATGGAGCAGTTCTGACTCATAAAATTTTAAGTATAAAATGGACCCAGGAAAAAAATAATCTCAGTAAAAATATTCAGCAAGAGATCAAACTGATAGTGGCTGACACTATGCCCTATAAAACTTGCTATTGACTAAAAATGGACAGGTGAATCAAATCTTCTTAATAAGATTGACACCTTTAGGGGCGCCTGGGTGGCTCAGTCGGTGAAGCGTCTGCCTTCGGCTCAGGTCATGATCCCAGGGTCCTGGGATTGAGCCCCACATCGGGCTCCCTGCTCCACGGGAAGCCTGTTTCTCCCTCTCCCACTCTCCCTGCTTGTGTTCCTGCTCTCTCTGTCTCTCTCTCTGTCGAATAAATAAAATCTTCAAAAAAATAAAAAATAAAATAAAATTGACACCTTTAGAACTGATCCAGACAAATTGTACTCGGTAGAAGTAGTGACCACAGAAGCCTTTGAAAGATGATATGGATAAAAATTTTGATTGGTTTACTAAATCTTTGTTATAAAATCTACATAGAAAAGAATTGGATCCTATGATGACAATTTTAGTAACATAATAATGAAAGTAAATAAATTGGCAAAGAGTTTAACTGAGGCATATGGAAAATTGATCAAGGAGTTGTCCTAATGGAATTAGCTCTAGAAAATATCTTTTTTAATGAAAATTTCACTCATATTGGCATATTTCTGATTAAAATGGATAGAATCAAACATCATCAGGGTAAAAAAAACATAAGTGGGGCCAAAATAGCTTTGACCTTTGAACTCCCGTGAAGCTCTCTATTGGTGAAAGGGAACTCAGTTGTACACTTCTCAGCCTGGTGGTGCCTTCTGACAGTGGCCAAGAATGTCTGAGTGAACAAGGGAAGTGACCCCCTTCCTAGAAGGCTCTGGCTCTTTATAAATACTTCATTTATTGACCTATTTGTATCACACCATCTTGTCCCAAACAAGAATTGAAGGCGGCTTAAAAAAAAATACAAGGTAAGATAAACTTTCAAATAAATGAGTGAAGATATCCTAGTTTTGACAACTATTCTGATTGACCAGTCTGGCAATATGTCAGGCATTCATTGAAACGATTTCTTTTTCCATGTCTCTGGGACACTATTAATGTCTCCTTTCTGCAAATGCAATATTGAAATTGCTTCTTTGGAATTTCTTCCCAAACACATCGGTTCTAACTGATATTTAGATTCATTCAATCCACTGCTCCAGTTTAGTAGTTTTGAAGTAAGCATCTTGCTATGCATTTTTTTGGTCTGGACTCATCTTCGCATCTTCTCACCTCTTTGTTTGGATCCTTAACATATGTCTTCTCTGTCCCAGAGATGTCAGAAATCTGGCATGTTTCTTCTTTCTTGAATTGAATATTTCATCAAATGTTTGGACTTGATCGAATCCAAGAGACCAGAAAGATTTTTTTGAATACATAAGAAACAATTAAGAGAACAAAATGGTAAAAGATACAATTAACATACCTAGTGAGAGAAACAAGCCTTGATACCTTTTTTATTTTTAATAAACCCACATTAAAAGAGAGGCAGCTGCAGGCGCCTGGGTGGCTCAGTCGGTTAAGCGTCTGCCTTTGGCTCAGGTCATGATCCTGGGGTCCTGGGATCGAGGCCCCCTCCCCCGTCAGGCTTTCCTGCTCAGCCAGGAGTCTGCTTCTCCTTCTGCCCCTCCACCTGCTCATGCACACGCTCTCCTTCTCCTTCTCTCTCTCAAATAAATAAATAAAATCTTTAAAAAAAATAAAATAAAACAAATACAAGGTATCAGTGAGGACCACATTGGAAACTGAAATCCTATGGACGAACCACGTCACCTACCTGGTTCTCAGTTTTCCTTGATGCTATGGTCTGTGCCCCAGGACACATGCTCTCACATCAGTCTCCGCTCTCAGGGTATATGTCGAGGTCCTGTTACCTTCTCCATTACATCTTAAACACAAGAATAAGAAACAAACTGAAAATAAATATACCACGGTGTGGAGTCATTACAAGAGGTTTTAAAACATACTGCATATTGGTAAATAGCCTAGCTGATGGATGTCCTAGTAAGCCAGAATGCCCTTAATTGATATTTCTTCTCCGTAAATAATGTAAAACCCATTGATCAAATGATTGTGCGTTGCACTCCTTCCCACTCTGTGCCCAGCTCTACACTGGGTATACAATGATGAGCAGAGACAAGACTGCCCTCACAAGCATATGTTCTAATGAGACTGAAGGCAAAAGTTACAAGAGACTCAAAAAGATAAAGAATCACAAATTGTGATGAGAATGAATAAGTCAAAGGGTGAAGAGAAAGAAGTAGGGTTGGTGGGATAAGACCTAGGTGCTGAGAGATGCCTTCTCAAGGGAAGTTATCATTTAAGATGAAATATCAGTACTTAAGTATCATTAAGATGAGAGGCAACAGGCCAAGAGCCAGGGTGGGGGACATTTTTCCAGGCAGAGGGAACAGCATGTGCAAAGTGCAGGTCAGGGTGCCTGCTGGTGGAAGAAGGAGTAGGGAGGGCTTAGAAACCCTGTGGAGCCTGGTGGGCAGTTTTGTTCTTGGAGAGTCTGAAGCTTGCTCGCTAGGGCTGCTGTAGGAGAGCAGGCAGGGAGGGGATGCTGCGGGAGTGGGACACCTGTTCAGGACACCGAGAAACGGGCATTCCCTGAACATACATTGCTGTTAATATCCTTCCTTCCCATCTCAGACCCACAGGAGGCCCCGGGAGCACCGAGCAGTACAATGTGGGAATGGTCGGCACGCATGGGCTGGAGACCTCTCACACGGACACTTTCAGCAGCAGTATTTCAAGAGAAGGAACCCTGATGATAAGAGAGGTAAGCTGGTATAAAAACTGTGCAGAGGAAGTGCATTTCTTAAGTGGTTTCGATATTAGAGCTTTCGCAGAGAATGCTTATGGCGTGTAGTTTAAGCCATGTGAATGGGGGCCAGGGGCAGGGGGGACCCATGCTTCTCAATGGCTGAGTGATTTTAATTGTCCACCGCCTCCTTTCCTGTATCCTTCTAAGCTTCTGCAGTGTGACTTAATTACATTAGTCCAGATTCTTCAGTAGGAGCTATGCAAATCGGAATAGAGAATTTGAGCTTGAGGATATAAAACTGGCAAATCCAGATGTTTCCTACAGCAGGAAAACAGAAATGAATGGTCTTGCTCAGCAGCATCCGAGGCCTTGTTATGCCTACTCCCGCCATGGCCTTATCCTTGTGGATTTTATGTAGAAAATTCTTAGAAGTTCCAAGAAAGGGTGATTTCATCTTATCTAATTAGGTCAACATTAAAAAGGCTGTTAAGCTATGTTGATGAAAGAACAAAGAAATATGCAGATCTACTTGGAAATGTACCTTGGCACTTTGTATGATTTTGTTTTTTTAAACTCAGGCACATCATTTCAATTGCGGTGGGGGTGGGGCACCTCCTCCCACAGGCAGCGCGTCCTCACTGGGCCTGTGCCAACCGGAAGGGCCTTGACAAATCAGAATTTGTCTTCTCTTCTTTTTTACTTCATCATCATCCTGCAAGTTTGCCACCAAGTCTTTGCCTGGAAGGAAAGTAATGGCTGGTAACATCAGGCAAAAAATGACTTTATGTCCCCTTGGGTCCGTGTTATCATCTATAAAATTTCATAAATAATAGTGGAAAGATGACTGGGAGGATTCAGTGAGTTAATACATGTAAGCATTCAGTTAATGTAAACACAGTTGACTCCGGAACAACACGAGTATGAACTGTGTGGATCCACTTACATGTGGATTTTTTTTTTCAATACAGTCTAATACTGTAACTGTATTTTCTTGTCCTTATGATTTTCGTAATAACATTTTCTTTTCTCTAGCTGACTTTATTATAAAAATACAGTATATAATACATATCCAGAATATGTGTTAATAAACTGTTCGTGTTATTGATAAGGCCTCCGGTCAACAGTGGGCTACTACAGGAGTTAAGCTTTTGGGAAGTCAAAAGTTCTATTCAACTGCCCCGGGGGTCAGTGCCTCTCGCCTCCATGTTGTTCAGGGGTCAACTCTATTTTATTTTATCTCACTCTCACCAGAGAACGGAGTTCTTCTTTGACTCGTTATCACTCCCCACTCTTGCCTCTGAAAACAATGTATATCATCTGTCATTCCTCAGCCAGGAGAGTTTGGGAAACCGTAATAGCAGGCTTTGCTCTCCCAAGAAAGAAAGGAACTATAGTTTTGAGATGAATAAGGCCTTTGAAATAATAATTGGCAGTAGGGCTGTAACTGGAAGAGTAGTTCCCAAAGCAACTTACGAGAATTTCATTATATGGCCTTGCTGAATCTTTGAAGTAGGCTTTAAAGAGTCCTATCATGTAAGCCTGATATAAGAAATGGACTCGGCTGCAGCAGTTGACATTGCATAGTGCTGGTGTATAAATCTCCCAGTGTGGTGTGTGGATAATTTCATTGCAAGTGTGGACGGCTGCTATCACTGTAACTTGCTACTTGGAAGACTTGAGGGAAAATGTTCCGGAGTGAGTTACTCTCTGACTCCAAATAAAAGGACTCTGACAAACGCAGTTGAAAATTTGCTTGAGTCTTTATGATAGAGTCAATACCTTGAATAAGATTATCAGGAGGCACATTTTCAATTCAGTTGCCAGACATATCCAAATGGCTCCGTGTTATTTAAAGCACTCCAGGACTTTATGACCACAGCCAATCACTTTGAAAACAGCACTCACCAGTGTCTTATATGAATTTGATCTATTGAGGGCCCAAAATCTTTTTTGTCTCTCAGTTTCTAAAATTCCACCTTTCCCAAATGTGAGCTTTTAAAATAACAAACCTTGAGTTGGAATCCATTAAAAGTACAGGTATTAAAAAGTTGAATGCAAATGAAAGTATGTCCCTGACAAAAGAGTAGGAAAAGAAAAACTCATAATAGAACTTAGCTTATAGGGTGCTATCATTCAGTTCCCCAAGATGGACATCAAGTCGAACTCACTCATGTCAGCATTCTCACTTAAGTGGACAAGATGGTTCCAGAGGATCCTGGCTGTAGTACCCACAGTCTTGCCAAGATGCACAAATTTAGTGCACACCCAGGCCCAGTGGTTTTCTCTCTCCCTATCCTACGGCCCTGTAGGACCTTGCCCTACTCTAGCTCTAGAACCCACCACACCAGACGTCATCTCCCACTTCGTCCATAGGGACCCATCTGCTGGAAGAGCCATTCTCCCTTCCCCACTGCCCCTGCTGCCCACTCCTCACGCAGCAGATCCCTGTGGGTCTGGCTCAGCCTTCCCTTTCTCCTTGAAGCCCCTCGTGGGACTCCATGGGCCTCTGTCCATAGCATCTTTCTTACTGACCAGCTGATAATAGGAAATAATAGGAAAAAGAGTCCACTTAAAACAGCTTACAGTGGGGAGAAAAGGTGGGGTTGGTATCAGAGATAGAGGCATAAAAATTCAGAGGTATTTCATACAAGGAATCCAAAGGCAAAGAGTAAGTTGGGACTCTGTGCAGGGCTGGAACCAGAAACTAAAAAGGATCAGGAACCCAGGCAGCTTTCCCGTGCCTATCTTTGGCTCTCTCACTGCCTGTCTCTCCTTACCCTCATCTCTGCTTTCCTCGATGCCTTGTCTCTCGTCTCCCTCATTTCTCTTTCCTCCAATTGCTCCTTTGTTCTTTCTACTCCACAGGCCCGCTTTCTCTCCCTCTGCATGCATGAGCTCTCACTTCTCCCCGCCCCCCAGATGCAAGACAGGCGCCACCTCCCACCCAGTTCAGCTGTGCAGCAGAAACTGACCAGTGTCTCTCGGCCCCCACATTAAATGCAAAAGGGAATTTGATCCTGCATCGTTCAGGTGTCCACTCCAGGTCCGATCAGCTATGGCCGAGAGCAGAGCCACCTCGTGTGGCAGCACACAAAGCACCTGGGCTCTGCTACCAGGCAGCCCCCGATTGCAGCACTTAGAACCTGTGTCGCTTGGAGCAAGTCAGCTGAACTCTTTGCACTGCAGTTTCTCCATCCGTAAAATGAGGATAAGGAAAGCTAACCCACGGTGTTATCTTAAGGACTGCGTGGAATACCGTACCTAAAGCGTTTGGCATGGTCCCAGACACATATTGTTAGTCGGAACAGCTTAGTGCCCAGCCCCATGGCAATGGTGAGGGTGGAGAGACTATAGAAATGGTTGGGCTCTGCAAGGAGGTCCTAGGGGGCAGGGCTGTTGTTCATTTATCTCTGCGTTCCCAGCTGAGCGCCTGGCGCACAGAAGGTATTTAACTCTGAGAAGCTGGCCGAAGGGACAAAAGCTGATGACTCAGAGTGGGGAGATTCGGGGGTCACCACTGGATTCCTTCAGACTTCTCACCGTCTGGGCCTTTTCCCCTTGTTAGCCTCTTCAGGTCTTTCTTTGATAAGCTGTTCTTGGCTTGAGGCAGAATGCTAGGGATAGAATAGAGAACCCGTGAAACTCTAAAGAGACACTATGTGTGATTTATGCTACTGGGAGATTGGGGGGAAATGTTAAAAAGCCTTTCAGTATTTGAACAGAAATTAGAAGGAAGGAAGGAAAAGCTGTCCAGTACACATAAAATTGGAGACAGTGGGATGAATCAGGACTGAACCCCATAAATATCATTTAGAAGACAAAGTGTTCAGCTCTGAGAACCGGCACTAGTACCCAGATGAGCACCAGGACAGAATGAATCCAGAAAATACCCCTCGCCAGGGCAGCCTGCAGGCCAGGAGCATGCTGCCAAAATACAGAGCATGCTTCCGCTTTCCAGTTATTTCTCAAGCTCCCTGGCAACACCCCTTACATGAACCCCTTCAGGAACTTGGGGATCTGTTTCGTCTCCCCCCAAAAAGTGCCTCCTTTCACTTTTAGCCAGAAGCAGGTACCAAGTGGTCCTTGCAAGACCAGGACAGGCTCTGGAAGGGGGAAGTCAGGCCAGTGTGAGCCCATGCCAGCTAGCCCCAAAGAAGGCGAGGAGTGCTTCTGCCTGCACTGATCCTGGCTCATTCCTCCATGGTTCAGTAAAACGTGTCACACTCAGTAGGCACTCAGAAATGTTAGGTGAGTGAATGAATGAAAGCAAAGGCAAAGAAGGGACTCGTTTACTTAGGTCTGCTCTAAGAAACCTCAGTGAGTTGGTCGCATAAATGTCAAGTCAGGAAGCACAGTACTAGCCAGGCCTACAGGGTGGGCACTGGCTTTTTAGGAAGCAGAGTTGTCTTTTAGCCCTGTATTTCTTCCCTGGGGTTTTTTGGGAGGAGGCTTTACTCTCCAGGGCAGTGGTTTCCAAACTTGTTAGGTCATACAACCCTAACAGTAAAAATTTTAGAGCACGCCACATAATTACAATGTATTATTTTTTAAGAGAGAGAAAGAGCATGCACATAGAAGTTGGGGAGGGGCAGAGGGAGAGGGAGAGAGAGAGAATCTTAAGCACGATGTGGAGCTCGATCTCACATGAGATCATGACCTGAGCCAAAATCAAGAGTCAGACGCCTAACCGACTGAGCCACCCAGGTGCCCCATAATTAGAGTGTATTTATTTACAAATCATGCGTGTGTCCTACTTCACATATTATATGTATATTATAAAATACCTTGAGAGGACATTAAAAAGGGATACCATAAACAATATTTCAAATGCTTTGCTAGTCATGATGACTTCCATTTTTTACTACACAACACCATAATTGCTTATGAGAGTTTCAATATTAATAATGGACATAAACCCGTAGTTTCAAATAATCTGTAGATTATTTCAGTACATTTTCTTTTGTAACTCCTATCAGACCTGACTCATTAATCATCGTTCTGACGTCACGACTGACAAAGAGCCCTGTGAGTCTGGTTGATATCATCTCTGCATTTTCTTGGGCTACATGGTACATGGATTCTTAGCTTTATCTCATCCCAGCCTCTTCGTTTCAGCAATATTTTAGGTCATGTGTGTGTGTCTTGTGGATTTGTGTCTTGTGACCTGGTCATATAATCTGCAAGTCCAGTTAACTGGTGTGCTCACAGGCACACACACAAATATGGCAGAAGGGGACCATGCAAATGCAGACCTTGGGTGCTCAGCCCCTCCACCTGCGTGTGGCATTCCTGTCTTCCCCCAGGGAACCCCCACATCCTGTGTGGCCCTGAAGGCAGAAGCAAAAGGCCCCACGGTCAGTCCATATGCTAAATAGTAACGAAGTTTAACTTCTTCTTTATTTTCTTAGTAAAACAGAAATGTGAAGGTTATCTTCCCACACACCCCGGCGGGTCCATTTGGAGACCACTGTGCCTGTGCTTTATGAGGGGTGACATCGCTCCGTGGCCTTTGCCCACCCCCAATCCCTGTCTAATGCTCCCCGTGTGTTGTGCCCCACCCCAGACGTCTGGAGAGAAGAAGCGATCTGGCCACAGTGACAGCAATGGCTTCGCTGGCCACATCAATCTCCCAGACCTGGTGCAGCAGAGCCGTTCCCCGGCCGGGACACCAGCTGAGGGCCTGGGGCGCGTCTCCACCCATTCCCAGGACATGGAATCCGGGACTGAAGTAGGTGCTGGGCAACAGCCTCCGCAGCTCTGTTCTCACCCCGTGGGGGGCTGGGGGGCGAGGTGGGGAGCCGGCTTCAGGAATGAGGCTTTGCTAAGCCCCCCGAAATGTGTTTGGTTGGTTTCTACTATATAACTACTTATGCCAATACTTAAATGGAGGAAAATCATAGAAGCACAGTGGTAAATGTTCTCAGATACCTTCTGGCCGAAAACCTGTTTTTACAGATGAGAATATTGAGGCTCAGAGAGGTTAAGGGGCTTGCCCAAGGCATACAACGGGTTTGTGACAGATCTCTGTAGAACTGGGATTTCCCATCTCCCAGGCCAGTGCTAGAAACTTCAGCTTATAGAGATCCCAAGGCCAAGTTGAGGTTCATGTTTACCTCAATTTAGTCAAACTAAGTTGGACCTAAAATGAGGTTGAAATTATTTGTTAAATGAAAGATAAAAATCAATAGATAGGTTCTCTAAGCATTCCTCTTCCTAAACTCCAAATTGAATGGGAAAGGGAGAACTGAGATATTATCTTTCCTGTATAGAAACAGTCCCTGGAAACAGCCTGAATAAATCCAGTCTGCTAGGCAGTGCTCGTAGGTGTGGTCATCCAGACTTGACCCCTGGATGAGTTCGTGGTGCTTGGTCATGTTTCATGAATAGTCCTGTGAGTCACACATAGGCCTTGAAGCGAATGAGGAAGCATACGCACTGGTGTTTTTGATGCTGTCCACACACTTTTCATGATACACCCCTTGGATTCTACAGTTACTGCGCAGATGAGCTTTGTTTAGCCCGAGGGAAAGAACACAGAGGTGTACTGGAAGGTGCAGCATTTCCTCTCGTGGCAGGTTTTCTCTGCCTGAACACCTCTCACGGTACCAAAAGAAGCCCATGGGATTGGACTCTGGTTCAAATTCTGCTTCTGCTCCAGCTCTAAGTGGGAATATTAGTACCTGTCCCACCTCCTTCACAGACTTCTTCTAAAGATCAAAGGAGAGAATGTACGTGAAAGCTCCAAGTGGAGCTTGACTGTATGTTCGGGATGAAATGCTGCCACGTGGACACGCTGACTTAGCTTATTAGCAGTTGGGTCAGCTTTTCTCCAGACCATGTGGTCAATATGAGGTTGTCTTTACTTCAAGGGAGAGATGAGCTCTGTCATCACAGTCATCCTACCATATGGTCCAAAATGTAATTTGCTCACTGCAACTCTTACAGTCTGACAATTAATGGGGCCCTAGCAAAGGCCCCATGGTGAGTAACCAACCGAGACCAGGAGAAGTTGGAGAGAGAGGCACATACTGGGACTCGGGGGTTAGAGTGTGAACAGCTAAACAGCTAAATGGAAGAATCCGTTATCATTTTAAAGCCCGAGCAAAGTATTCCTGGCATTGTTCATTCCTGTAGTATTTATTTATCTGCTTTTCTTAATCCTCTTGCATATCAATTAGTACGGCATGGGGAGCAGCACGAAGGCCTCCTTCACCCCCTTTGTGGACCCCAGAGTATACCAGACGTCTCCCACTGATGAAGATGAAGAAGATGAAGAATCATCAGCTGCAGGTGAGCTAGAAGGCTTGGATGTTTTAGTAACAGCTTGGTTTTCCTTTCTGATAAGACCTGATAAAGAAATTAATTACTGGTCCAGTAGTTTTTTTTTTTAATTTTATTTAATTATGTTATGTTAGTCACCATACAATACATCACCCGTTTTTGATGCAGTGATCCACGATTCATTGTTTTCATACAACACCCAGTGTTTATTGGTCTAGTAGTTAAGTCATTTTCTGCTTAGGCCCTGCCTTAAAGGGAAGTTGTGTTTTGTTTTGTTTTGTTTTTGTTTTTATTATTATTATTATTATTATTATTGTAGGATTTCTAAAATAATTTCTTTCTCTCCATTTTTTTTTCATCTCTTCTATTTTGCTTCTGGTAGGAACCCAGAGGTATCCAGGGGCCCTGGGAAAAGCTGTTCCTCAGAGACCTCCAAACTTACCACATACTTCTCAAAAGCAATTTCTGGGTACAATGCTGTGCACGCAGTAGACACTTAATAAGTGCGTGTCGAGTTGTGTTGGGTTCTAGGTGTGTGCTTCCTACCGCCCGGGTCTGGCTGATTTAGAGGAGAGTCATGCTTTCTGGACTTACGCAACTCACTAATCATCAGGGGAAGCTTAGGCCAGTTTTTCAGCTGATGATACGGAATTTTAAAAAGTAAATCTTGCTGTGTATGATATAGGAGATGGTGTGTTCAATTTTGTGAGATGAGTATCTATTCTCTAAACTACCCAAGTCGTATCCATAAGTCTGTTTTACTAATGGATAAAATAGTGCTTCTGTGAATGACTTATACTGTATTCTACTTTAAAAAAATGTATAAAATATGCATAGCTGCAGAGTTTCTCTGCCTTATCTATAATTCCCACTAAACAAAGAGAAATTATAGTGTTCTGAAGTGCCTTCTCCGTATCTCCATTGCTTATTTTTTAAGATGCCAGTGACTTCTCCGATTCTTTTTCTCAAAGCTCTGTTTACTAGTGAACTTCTTAGGCAAGAACAGGCCAAGTTCAATGAAGCAAGAAAGATTTCAGTGGTAAACGTAAACCCAACCAACATTCGACCTCATAGCGACACACCAGAAATCAGAAAATATAAGAAGCGATTCAACTCGGAAATACTTTGTGCAGCTCTCTGGGGTAAGTGCTGCTTTTTACCACTTACTAAGAAATCAACCCTCAAACGTTAAAAGCCTGTGGAGCTTACCATCTGGAGAGCAGTAGTTGAATCATGGGTGTCAGAGTCCCCACGCAGGACTGTCTTGGCTTCAGGAGGGATCAAGAGCAGTTTTACATGTAGCAAGACCTGATAACCTAACGCCCAGGATAACAAGATCAGATTCAGGATGACCTCGTCACATAATAGTGATGGGCTATAAAGTCAGTAAGAGAACAAGCTACCACTTACCACACACCCACCATGTGCCCAGCACCATGTGATGTGCCCCACACTCTGCCTCCGTGACCTATACAATATCCTGCAAGGGGAGGAAGGGCATCACCCCCATTTCACAGCTGGAAAGCCAGCCTAGCATCTTTGAGTGAATTGTCAAAGGCCAGTAGTAGCAAGAAAAAACTTGAAAAGGACAACAGATGATGAACTTTCCTTTTTAGTTCAAACAGCAACCTGCAGTTCCTATGAAAATGATGCACAGGTTTTAGCTGACGTCAAGCTCAGTTTAGGTTGGGTGAGATTCTATCAAAGTCCTGGTCTGTGTTACTGCAAATGTCACATACCGATTAAGGAAGGACGTGGCCCATCCGTATCCATCTAAAATACTAGGCCTAGTTTGAGGCACCACAGTTTTACAAGGGCAAAAGCATTTGAGATGTTCGTAGAAGTGGATGAAGGCTGGGAACCATTTCATGGGAGATGCGACGGAAAGAGTAAGGCTCTGTCCTCTGGAGAAGAGACAGGAGACAAGATGGCCATGTTTAATATGGAATAATTTATGGACAAAAGAATAGACATTTATGTTACTCAAAAAATAGATGTACAAAAGCAAGAGAAGTTAGAGAGCTACCTGTTCACGAATATAGTCCCCCACAGTGGACCCTCAGTGTGTGTGCATGTATGTGTGTGAGTGTGTGTGTGTTGCAGGGCAGATGGGAGTTAATTTGCATGAATTTTCTTGGCAGCTGTCCAGACAAGACCACTTACCTGCGAGAGCTTTTGTAATAGGGATTAGTGCACGGGAGCTGGGCTGGGCCAGATTTAGATATCTGAGTGGTGCCTTAGGGCCCTGCAACTCTCAGGTTCCTAACACCTTCGCTTGCTCTGGCTTGTCATTTCCCTGACAGACAGCAGAGCCTTGAGGGTATGAGACACATGTAAGCTTTGGTGTGAGAGGGAGGAAAGGCTTTTCTTCCAGTGGGGTGTGGAAGTGGGGCACTCTGCCGTATGTCGAAGGTGGGCAGGCTAGAAATCCCTGCATGGACAGGCGTGGGGATGAACTTTGGGCATGCCTCGGTGGGATTTAGAGAGCGAGCCAGGAAGGGGGTGGGTGTTAGAGGAAAGGAATAAAGGCGAATTGTCCTGGTGTCACAGCTGTGCCCAAGGCTGCTCGTGAGAAGGACTCGCACTAGGTAGTACATGGCCAGGGGTAATGAATGCTGCTACCACTTTATAGAAGAAAACTAATCTTATTACCAGAGGGACAGTGATTTAATTACTGTGGCAGAGCCTCGACCTCTTCACTCCCTACCGTAGTACCTACTTGCCCATTAGTTTATATTAGCAAGGCACGGTTTCTTAGGTTTCACAGGGACCTCAGATGCAGAAAGGTGAAGCATATAAAAAGCCAGTCTTGGGGTGCTCCTTAAATTTGCAGGTGTAAACCTCCTGGTGGGAACGGAAAATGGCCTGATGCTTTTGGACCGAAGTGGGCAAGGCAAAGTCTATAATCTGATCAACCGGAGGCGATTTCAGCAGATGGACGTGCTAGAGGGACTGAATGTCCTGGTGACTATATCAGGTAGGTTACCAGTATGTTAGCGGGATGACCGAGACCCCCGGGTCTGCACAGGTGGGAAAGGCTATCGCCTCCGTGCTGAAAAAACAGCAAGCTCTGCCCTCCCTGGCTAACAGTGACACAGTAAATTTTAGCAGGATAGCCAGAGTGAGGTCACCCCTCGTCTGTAACTCTGGAGATACTGACCTCCGAAGGGAAACCTCTCACCTCCCTATGATCTCTGAATCAGGCAGACGTACCACAGAGGCTGTATGTTTATAGGCCTTTAACCACTGCCGGGACTCGGCAAGGAGCTTTTGAAGTCTGAGCTCTAGTCATTGCTGCCTACTCCTGGGTGGAGACTATCAAAACGTAGGCTTCGCAGAGTGGAGAATTTTGTAAGCAGAAACTTCTCTGGTCTCTTTTCTCTCACGAACTGTTCTAGCTTATACTCCACTGATGTTTCAGCAAGTGCAGCTGGCCCGTTGGGCGGCTGAGTCTGCAAAGAGATTGGGATGTGGGAGTCATTACAGCTACGCCCTGCAGCTTTCTGCTTCCCAAAAAAAGAACTTTAAAAAAATATGGACACAGAAGTGAAGGCCTTATTACTGACAAGTTATCATCAATGTAACCTGAAAGAGTCTGTGTTTATTGAAAGTTCTTTGCTTTCTAATGATGTTTGAAGGAGCTTAATAAACAACATCCCCTCTTTTCCCCTGCCTTCCCATCCCACCCAGTATGAAACATTAGAACCATGATGGGAAGAACCCAGGATGCACCCCAGACCTGTGGGTCAGAATCCCTGGGAGTAGGACCCAGGGATCAACTCTGAACGCTCAGAGTTTCATCTCTTTTTATTCTCCCCAAAAAGAGTTAGCCGAGTAAATTCTTCTTGTATCATCATTTGAGCTTAATTTGGTGTAGTCTTTTTTTTTCTTGTTAATTGCTTGCCTGACTGCGGTACTACCAAATCAAATTTAAAACGTACATCTGCCACTCACCTACCGAAAGTGGAAATGATGCCAGAAAATTCACATTCAGCCTTCATTATGTTGTGAGTGACACGTTCCCATTCTTAAAAAAGTAACCATCTCCTCTTACCATGAAGTATAGATGGGGAAAGAAGAATGAAAATAAGAGCAACTGCCCTCAGATCTGCATTGGCATAGAAAGGAGCAGGCACTGGCCTTTCTGCCCATCCTAGCTCTTGGGATCCATTCTGGGCCTTGGACTACAAAAAGGAATCACAGCTGTGCAGTGACTCCCTTAATTTATGGACTCACCGTCCTGTCAAATCCAGTGTGCGATGCTTCAGTGAATTTTCTTCTTCTTATATACATCACATCTGTAAAATATAAAACATCCTTTGCTGCCTAAGAGAAGTCAAGGGAAAATAAGTACCCAGGAAGTATAACCCACAGGCCTAAATGATCACTTAGGAACAGCCACCTCCCCACCCCATCCCACTCCCCCCCCAGAAAAGGAAGAGCCACCCCAAGGAACATTTTCTTATCTGGTACGCAGATAATCTCACAGAGTATATTAAATTTTGCTTCTGTGTCCTCCTCAATATTTTTAAGATGTTTTCTTATCATTGAATTCCTATTCCAGAAGCGCTTTACCAAAGGGAACTTTGTTTTTTCCCAAGTGCACATCTTTGGTTTTTCCCAAGTAAACGTCTTTTCCTCTACTATTTTTGTTTGGTATTTCTTTCAGTGATCTCAGAATCATAGATGTGTCCAGGGTTCTCTGCTGAGCCCGGGTTGCCTTCATTAAAATTGTTTCTCTTGTCTCCTTATAATTCTTTTTTGTTAGTCAGATAAAGTAAAACTAGTCACACCTGTCATCTTCAAAGTAATAGAGGAGGTGAATAAGAGGCTCCCACTGACGTATGCTGTTAGGTTAGAAGGTGAGGGGAAGACAGCCACATAAAAGCATGTTAAAATGTCCAGTTATCAACACTCCTTCATGTGATTCGATCTAGAATGTTCTGGAACTCTGACCAACTATTCCTCACAGAATTAGGTCTTGACACTGCCCTTTGCATTGAGAAGAGAGAGTAAGAGCAGCTTGCTCAAATAAGAAGCTACCTGAAGGTAAAGACAAATTATAAAATGGTGATCTGTCCAGAACACCTGGAGCTGTTGGCATAGACAACACTTTGATGTTGCTGGGGACACTGGTTATTGTGCCTTCACACACCTACACAATTGTAAATAAAATAAAAATAAGTGAATAAAATAAAACAGAGTTGGGGAAGGACTGAGAGAAAAGGTTGTCACAGGGGCTTGAAATTAGAGCTCTTTTATTTCAACAGGAAAGAAGAACAAACTACGAGTTTACTATCTTTCATGGTTAAGAAACAGAATACTACACAATGACCCAGAAGTAGAAAAGAAACAAGGCTGGATCACAGTTGGGGACTTGGAAGGCTGCATACATTACAAAGTTGGTAAGTGTCAAGACATGGAATTGTTTACTCAATCCTAATTATTCAGTTTAAGTTTCATTTCATTTTTTTCTGTTAGGTATTGATGATGTATTTGTTACCAGTTTAAGATGTTGTTAGAACTTTAGGTATACTTGCATTGTTTCCAAAAAGTCAGATTGATGAAGTTCTAAGAGTGCATTCCGACTAAAGTCCTATGCTCCAGTTTGAACATTTATATCCACTCCCTCCCAAATACCCATTAAAATGACAGTGAAGGAATAAAAATGCCATAAACCCACAAGGACAAAGGGACCAGAAGAAGAGAAACCAGCAAACAAGAGATGTCAACAGAATTGAACAAGAATAGCTGGATGACGCATAACTAATAGATGAGCAGGAAATGCTGAATTCTATGTCTGTAGTGAGGAAAGTCATCAAAATCAATCCAACCACTTACAGAACCCTGAAAGGCCCAGGGTCTGAAGCCCCTGAGATGGAGGTATACAGTGGAACTGAAAACAGAAGGATTATTCGAAGGGTGATGAGCAGCAAGTTCTCCCCCACTGCAACAGAGGATGAAAAGTTGGCACAGCCAATCTGAATTATGGGAATATGGAATCGCCAGGATAGACACACACACACACACGCACACGCACACATAAACACATACCCTACTTCCCCTGTTTAGCTCCTAGAATGTTGGCAGCCATACTTATGTACCAAGCAAGAGATTGAAACATTTGTCTTTGGAGAAACTTAGAAATAGCCAGAAAGAAAAGATGTCCAGGTACTAATATTTGAAGTGCCATGGGAAGCTTGCTATCTAACCATCTAAACCTGAAGCCCACACCTGTAGCAGATATGGGGACATCCACTAATAGGAAGGAAACTTAAACAGAAAGAAAGAACTTTAAAGGAAAGATAATGAGGAGTGGAAGAAAATTAAAAAGAAACTGTAATAACTTCAGAGAGATTAGAAAAACTATTTCCAGAAAAGAATAGGGACCATTATGAAAAACAGTTGGAGAAGGGTCAGGGGAGGCCATTCAGAGAGCAAGAAAAAATTCTTAGAAATTTGAATATATTGGCAGGGATAAAAAGTGTAGTAGATGTATCGGAAGATAAAGATGAGGCATCTCCTAGAAAGTAGGACAAGAAGAAAAGGAAAGGAAAAGAAAAGGAGACAAAAGTTAAGAAAGCAAAAGGATCAGTCCAAGTGCTTCAAAATCTAAGTAACATGAGTTTGGGAAAAAAGAGAAAATAAGAATTGGAAAGGGAGGAAAGTATCAAAGAAGTAATATAAGAAAATTTCTAGAACTAAGAACTTAAAATCTCAAATTAAAAGGACTCACTGTGAATACCCAGTATAGTGAATGAAAAAAAAGACTCACAGGAAGATATATTAACATAACATTTCAGTACCCAGGAAATGAGGAGGTCCTTAAAGCTTCCAGATTATAATTAAATAAATAAACAAATAGTTTATATATTAGGTGGCTTGAGATTTAGCAGCAATACTAGAACTTAGAAGATGATGGAACAAAGCCTTCAACTGGTATTTTATAACCCATCTGTATTAACCAGGGTTCTCCAGAGAAACAGAACTAATAGGATACACACATACATACATGTGTGTGTGTGTGTGTAAGAGGCATAAATAAATGAGTGTGTAAATATACTCTCTCTATATAAAGAGGTTTATTATAGAAGTTGCCTCACATAATTATGGAGGCCCAAGATCTGTAGTTGGCAAGCTGGAGACCCAGGAGAGCCAGTCTCTCAGACCCAATCTGAAGTCTGGAAAAGACCAGTTTCCCAGCTCAACAGTCAGGCAGGAGGTGGGTCTTCTTACTCAATCTTTTTATTCTATTCAGGTCTATAATCAACTGGACGAGGCCCATCCATACTGAGAAGGCATTCTGCTTTCCTTAGTGTACCCACTCAAATATTAATATAATCCAGAAAAGCCCTCACAGACACACCCAGAACAATGTCTGACCAAATATCTGGGCACCTTGTGGCCCGGTCAGGTTGACACATAAAATTAAACATCACACCATTAAACCATCAGTCAACTTTGAATGCAGCATGAAGACATTTTTCAGATGTGCAGGGTCTCACAACATTTATGTTCCATACACTGTTTCTCAGGAAACTACTGGCCAATGTATTCCACCAAAATAAAGGCATAAACCTAGGAATCCAGGTAAAAAGTGAAGAAAATACCCAGAATGATGGTGAAGGAAATGTGGGTGACAGCTCTACCATAGGCCTAGAGAGAAATCGGTCCAAGTAGAGTGGGACAAGGGAGTGTTCTAAGAGGGGTGCCTTCAGGGAAAATAAAATGTCACGAATAGATTACCTGCCACATTTGACCGCATTGAAGGCATTTACAGTACTAGCAGAAAGTCCGTGTGCTTAGAGACAGATGTATGGAAAAGAAGGCAGTGGGGAGAAAAAAGACGAAAGACAAGAAAGAAAATGTAATTGTGGCGTGCTATATGCCTCAGCTGTGAACAATAATCATTTCAACATGGGATCTTGATTTAACCAAAAATTTGAACTGTAACTGTATTAGTGGTGTGGGGGAGGAAGAAACGTGTGTGTGTGAGAGAGAGAACTAGAGAGAGGAGATGGTTCTAAGAGACTAAATCCTTCCCATACTCTCAAGTCAATAGGTAATACCTCCAACAGAAGAAAAATCAAGAAATAACATTATAAGCATGTTATTTAGAAATATGGAAGTAAATAACCAAGGAAGTAGTTGAAAGTATATTAAAGACAGAATATGTAAACAGCAGGGGCACACTAAAGAAAAAGAGCCCAGGGAGCAAGAATTTGGTTCATTGCCGCGGGCTGTCCAGTTTCTTTAGGACATGAGTATTCTGTTCATTCAAATATTCTACAAAGGAAATGACTGCCACGTGCACTGTCTTAGCCTGGTCAGGTTGCTATAGCAGAATACCATGAACAACAGGCATTTCTCACAGTTCTGGAGGCTGGGAAGACCAAGATCAGGGTGCTGGCAATCTCAGTGTCTGCTGTGGGCCTGCTTCCTGGTTCATACACAGCAGGGTTTTTTGCTACAACTTCATGCAGTGTATGGAGAGAGGGATCCCTCTAGGGCCTTTTTTATTAAGGCACTAACCACTTTTAAATCCCTAATAATTGGAATTCAAATTTGGATAATAAGCAAATGGCCACCTTCACATCTCTACCCATTTGCTAATTTTTCTACCATTTGGCCATACCAGCTCTCAGCTTCTAGCATGTGGGTGACTGTAAAAGCCAGGGAGGGGAACGTGAAGGTGATTATGCAGGTTCTTATTAAAATGAATAATTCACATCTAGACCTAGTGATTAAAGAGAATCCTAAGCCTTCAGATGAAGAAAAGAGCCTTCAGTATAAAGTAAAGGCTCCAAGTGTTCTGCAGACCGAGTGCTTTAAAGAAAGTTCAGTCTGTATCTATGAGCAAATCTCCCACCAAGAACATAATGTGTATTTACATATGCAAAAACCTGAATAAGTTGGTATACTTTTTTAATTTATAATTTGTCTATTACAGTTAAATATGAAAGGATTAAATTCCTAGTGATTGCCTTAAAGAATGCTGTGGAGATATATGCTTGGGCTCCTAAACCGTATCATAAGTTCATGGCATTTAAGGTAAGCGAGCACACGATTACCTAAAAAAGGGATTTTTTTTTTTAATTTTAGGTTCGCACCAGTTAACAAGCGCATCGACTAGGACCAATTCTACTATATATAATAAACTCCCTTTAAAAGTATAGGAGCTCTTAGGCTTATTATTCCAAAAGCAAAGACTAAGCACTAGTACATGCTGTAAAATTTACTGGGGGTCGGGGGATGAGTGAATGGGGAAAAAATTGGGCTGTGCCCTCCTCCATATCAGGTCTAAAAATAATTGTCTCCTAGGGGCCTTTAGTGTGGGATGGCTACTGGGCAAAGCACTAATTGTGATATTAGGCAATGTGAGCCATTATAAAGGCTCTGGGTAATCTCTGATATGTCATCTCAAAAAGGCAGACCAACAGCAGGTCCAAATCTCAAGGATGAACCATGTCTCCAAATCCTGTCATCCTTATAAGCCTTTTGGGGTAAAGTCCCTACAACTCGCATAATGCGCATATATCCCCAATGTTATTGGACTTCTCTGAAATGAATACTGAATGTAGTTCCACAAGGAAATGGCTTAGTTTCTCTGCATTCTGCTTTTTCATTTTTGACCTTATCTGAGCCTGTAACCCATCATGGTTGGATTGGTCACTCATGACACTCAGCAGGAGTGGGATGAGGGTAGGCTAGTATGGTGGAACCCAGCTCGTGAAAGTTGACTCCCAAATGCCAGAAGGACCAGTACGTGCAGGCACTTGGATGTTTCCAGAGCTGCAGACTCTGTCCAGAGCCCACGTGAATTTCTTTTCTGTCCCCTGTCTCTCTCTGCCTGTGTCTCTCCTTTTCTTCATAGCAGATTGGCCCTCATGTTTTCTCCCCATCCTTGTGACTTTCCTCTTCCCTTGATCTTTATGCATTCTTTCTGGCCACTTGTGCCATGTGAGGGCAGAAGCTGCCTTGGGAACACTATGGGGCACTCCTTGAGGCTGTCTTGTTCCCTTAGTGCAAGGAGCTCATTTGTGATGTGCTCAGGAAGATAGATACATCAGTGGAAATGCTCTTCCTCCGTAACCCCACTTTTATGGAGAGAAAGTTTTGGAATGTATTAGGCTAGTAATAACACTTAAGGGGTGACACCTAAAAGCTAAAGCGGTGCTGCCATTGTGCCTAAGTCTAGGTCCACAAAAGTTTTTCAGTCAAGGTCCCGTTCTGATTCTGGTTCGGAAGTTACCGCCCTCAGTTTACCAGTCAAAATGCATGAGAGGGTGCAAAATGCTGTGTTCAGTCGACCACGCCCAGCCTGGCAGGAGGGCAGCGTGAAAGCCAGGACTGAACAGGAAGGATGGGAGCCTCCCCTACCATGAGACTCCGTCAGCAAAAGCTGAAGAAAGAGGGCTCTATTGGGTGGCAGTGACATTATAGCTGAGTAACTCGTGGTTTCGCAAATTCTCTCCCAGATGTCAAGGCCCAGTAAAAGTAGACTGTGCTGAAATAATGGCAAAAGAAAACAGAGGAATGCCTGGCAGCTAGTTGGGGCTTGGGCTCTGGATTGAAACACATGGAACCTTGGTAAACTTGGCTAGAGCTCTCTTTTTCCTTCCTACTTAAGCTGAACTACCCAACGTAAGCCATGAGTTTTGTGATGTTCCAGCCTCCCCCCTTCTCTATTGCCAAACCTAAGTCTCAGATCTCAGCAGTACGTTTAAAGAAGGTGCCAATCTGATGCCCACTCACTCATTGAAGGAAAATCAGAACCAGAGTGTGCCCGTTAATTCTGAACAGACTTAGCACAGAGCTGGTCCAGCTGCCCACCGCAGCCTGTCTCTGAAAGGGTCATGGCCATGCAAGGGCCCGGCTGTTCCATGGGAAGGGAAGGAGCCAGAGAGGTGGCTGGGCCTTCTGCAGAGGGAAAAGGCCAGAAATAAAGAGGAAAGAACAGCAGCACCCGGATGCCAAGTTCTTCAATGATAACAACACTGTCGAAATTGACCACTGTAAACCTCTTCTCTGCCCTAGAGGACAAGGGGTGGAGAAAGGGCCACAAATGGGTGCTAGACCCTTCCTCCTAGAGCCAGAATACGAATAAACCTAAAGCTGTAAGAGAAATCTCCTGGCTTTTCAGTGTAAGAAAGCCAGACATTAACTTCCACCAGGCTGCGGCTAAAAGAAACAATGATTAAGATAACTATCTCTTTGAACGATGTGGACACTCATGGGGTGTTTTTTAAAGTCTTTTGCAGATCTCCAGCACAAACCACTGCTTGTTGATCTCACGGTAGAAGAAGGTCAAAGATTGAAGGTTATTTTTGGATCACACACTGGTTTTCATGTAATTGATGTTGATTCAGGAAACTCTTATGATATCTACATACCATCTCATGTAAGTTCCTGAGTTCTACAACAACCTGTGTAGAAAAGGGATTTGTTCTTGCACATTTTTAGTGCAAGTCATGCTAATTTCTACAAATCAGTACAGCAGATGGACTATCAACGCTAAAAGACTTCACTAAATAGACAATGCTTTTAATACAGAAAACATGTGACTGTAACTGATTTTTATGAGTGCTTAAAACTGAGTAACCCATAACAGCAATTCTTTGCCACTTACTAGACATGTTGTCTTATTGGACTTTAGATTAAAATGTGTATGATATTTTTCCTTCGGGGCATAAATTGTGTATTTTAAGTAAGAGTACAATAGACAACTTCCTATTTTCAGGTTTTGAAGAGAGATGGGTTCAGGTGACTTGGGAAGTCTGTGGTCCCCTTTTGCTGTCTTTGTGGCTCTCTTCAACTTGAGGGGAGTGTTGTGTAGTAGAATCAGACACTGGAGGCCTACCCTGGCTCTAGCCTGTGCACATTAGACAGTCTCTCGAACCCTCAGCTTTCCCATCTGTAAAATGGGGATAGAGGGACCCATTCCAGAGGGTTATCATCAGCAGTAAATGAGGTAATACCTCTAAGGTGCTTGGCACAAGCCCCTGCAAATTGTCCCATGAACATTATAACACTGGAACACTGCCTAAAACCTGTCAAACAGAAATACCGCACCTGGTGTCACTTATTAGGATGGGTGCAGTGCAAGTCGTGTTTCTTGCACCTGATCCCGAGGCTAACATACAATAGACACCATCAGGAGAGTCTGAGGCCTGATCCGTTGCCAGTTGGTATCTTGAGAGTTTACAGGCTTTACTGCAAAAAAGCTCGATGATTGAAAAAAGTTGTTTCAGTACATGACACACACACACGCACACGGTCTCTCTCACACACGCGCATGGCATTCACTGCTGCGTCCTAGCTTTCCACACATGCGTGTGCATGTGTACACAGGACTCACAGCTTCCGTTCTTGGTGAGGTGACTGGGGCATCACTGTGATCATCCTCGGTCCTCTCATTTCCCCGCCAGGCAACTAGTGAGCTGCCATGTCAGCCTCAGCCCAGAGACCCCAGCAGCACTGCATCTCCCCTCCCACAACAGGTCCATCTACGTTGATTCCAATAAAATGAGTGGTCATTTTAAATGTTTTTCTCAACAAGCCATTAATTTGGATTATTCTGTTATTTAGGCACCCGGGTAGTCTGTGTTGTACGCTCAGAGCCTACTTGGTAGGCGTCTCTTTGGGTCCCACCTTTGACCATGTTTAGGCTGTTTCCATCAGATTCAGCTGGTTTGCATTCCCCTCATCTTTTTTTTAGAAGTAGATGGAAAACACGTGATTTCTTATTGTCCGTGAGACATGTGCTCAAATCCCAGTTCTACCACCAAATACCAGTACAGCTTTGCTCAATCTACATAACCCCTCTGACGTGCAGATGCCTCATCTGTAGAGGACGATATCTACCACAGGGAACTGTTCTAAGGACTAGAAATGATATATGTAAAGAGCCCAGGGCTCAGCACATAGGCAGTGTTCCATACCTGTAGTTGTTTTTAGGGAACAGGTCAATTGGATTCTCGACCTAGTGCCTAAGTCTGTATTTGTATACCAGGGTATTTGACAGGTCAGTGGTTAAATTAAGCAAAGCAAAGCAAAATGTCAGCCTCTAGAATGAAAATGGTGGGCGGGGGGAGGGGGGAGGGGATCCTCTTTTTTGCAATTCTTAGAGATGAATAGTCAAGATGCTGTTTTATTTTTAAAAAGAATAATGCCTGGCCTTTCTTTGTCTCCTAGATTCAGGGCAATATCACTCCTCATGCCATTGTCATCTTGCCTAAAACAGATGGAATGGAAATGCTTGTTTGCTATGAGGATGAGGGGGTGTATGTAAACACCTATGGCCGGATAACTAAGGATGTGGTGCTCCAATGGGGAGAAATGCCCACGTCTGTGGGTAGGTTAACCATTCCTTATCTCCTTCAGCAGTTACACCCCCCAAATGAAACGAAAGTCAAGAAATGTGAAACAACCATTTGATTCCACAAAAAACAAAAAAACAAAAAACAAAAACAAACAAAAAAAACAGTCTGTGAATAACACTTGTAAGACTTGCTTTGTCTGTTTATCTCAAGTCATTTGTCATTTTTGTGGTTAAGATGTGAACAGATGCTGTGAGTTATTGCCCATCTAATGTTTTTAATGCAGTTTTGGAAATTCCTTTTGACAGCCTACATTCATTCCAATCAGATAATGGGCTGGGGCGAGAAAGCTATTGAGATCCGGTCAGTGGAAACAGGACATTTGGATGGAGTATTTATGCATAAGCGAGCTCAAAGGTTAAAGTTTCTATGTGAAAGAAATGATAAGGTAAATCCGTTTCAACATTTGCATTAGTGTTTGCATTTTAAGAGACCACCAGGTACCTGTGAAACCTTCATTTTCCTTTATACTGATTTGAATCACATCTGTGTTAAACAATCAATATTCTCTTGAAATGGCATTATTTGGTTTGATTCATGTGAACCCTCAAAATATATTATTCACATATTTAAAAAGACATTAGAACTTCTAAAAATTTCTGGTAAACTCTTAGCAACTTTTGTGGCCTGCCGGCCTTATGCTGACCCCAGCAGACATCCCAAATTCTCCTACGCACAATGGGAGAGTTGGCCCATCATTAATCACTCACAGTGGGTCAACTCTGCACTGCACTTGGAGACTTTTCACAAAGTCACTATGGGGGACCCAACCCATCACATTATATTCACTTTTAAATGTAAAACATTTGACATGGAGAAATATAAACTTTTAAAAAAAATGTCACCTGTTCCTTAAGAAATGCACAGTCGCAAACTCAACTAGTGCCATGTCCTGTGTCATTCCAGCCATGTTTCTTCTGAAGTGTCATAGGGGGACTGTTTTGTAGTGAAACTGGTGGAGTCCGTCTGGCATGTTCAGTCGCCTCAGAAGGGTATTCTGCAGCAGCGCTGCTTCTCCCTTGCCCTCCCCGTAGACTAACCGTGTTTTTAGGAGCTAAGCTGTGCTCATTTGTGAATCCATCCTTTGTGACTATGGCCAACTTAGAATGCTGTCCCCAAATAGCAGGCATAAACACCTATAGTAAAGAATGTGATGGGTTGAACAGAAGTACATCTCTTGGTCCATCCTGGTTCCCCAGGGGCCAGATTGGTCTTAGTCCAACCCTGGGGGTGTGAGTCCAGACTGTATTTAACCCAACTACTCTGACCTGGTGCGTTCTGGGTAGACAACAGCTGTGGGTGCCAAGGATGGTTCCAGGGCCTTACCAGAGTATGCCAGGAAATAGACCTGACCCCTGGTAAAACTCCAGGCCCAACCCAGCCTCTGGGGATCATAAGAGTAGGAGTGAGCTGGGTATAGATCCTCACACTCCAATTCATTGACGACCCACCCCAGCAAGCCTGTTCTAAGCCATGCCCACACCCTCGGGAGCAGGCTGGGACCACACCAGTGTCTGGGGCCCAAGGTTCAGAGCCCAGGGTGCACACAGCCTGGAGAGAACAGCCGCCCTTTCTTCCCCTTCCCCCCCGCCAATGTGTTTCCATGGGTCCTCTGTGCTTCCCCATTTTGAGTCATTGACCCTAACAGTAGCTATACTTACATATGTAGCATTAGCTGAATGACAAGCATTTCCCCAGAACTTCCTAGGAAGTTGTTGTTGGGAGAGACAGCATTCTTCTGAAGGAGTTGTGGGAATGAAGTAGCAGAGACTTTACACTAGTGACAAAAGTGAATGCCTTGCACCAAAGTTTGGTGTTGGCTGACTAAGGGCTAGGCCACAGCCCAGAATATTATTTCCCCAGGGCAGTGGTTCACTGACATTTAAGCAAGCAGTAACCCAAATTTTGCTCGTTCCTCTTAGTTGTTTGATAAAATGATGTAACAGACCCAGACCTAATGGACTGTGGTTCTGTTTATTAATGCCATGTCTCCTTTGGCCTAGGATATGCCTGCACCAGCAGACAAGCCAAGAGTTAACTCTTTGATATACCAAAGTGAATAGGCATGAGCCACCTTAGCCTATCCGACCACACCATTTTTTTTTTATTTTAAAAATTGATAACTGAAGTTGTATAGTAGTAAGTAGACCCAAAATCCACCCCCCACCCCGACCTTGGGAATTTGAAAGGATTCTCTTCAGTCCTAAAGTCTGCCCTCTCATCATTATGGGGGAGAGAAGGGAAGCCTCTATGGCTTTTTAGAGATTAATAAAGGACCTGTTGTGTCCTAGGCCAAAAATCTAGCACATTACCTAGCATGAAATGCCCGTTTAAAATGTGAGCATCCTAAGGGATGCTGCCAATCAAGATATAGCCCCTCCCGTGTTCCTGAAGGCCAGTACCATGATACGTAATAGTAATAATCATAGTAATCAAGTCAGGAGTGTTTACAGAGGATGCACTGTATTAAAAGGCACTTTTATAAACACCAGCCGTTGAGTCTTAAGAGCTGACACATGGCAAGGATAGGACATGTGAGAGAAAATGGATGGACGGTTGAAGAAAAGAGGAAAAGAAACCATGCAGCTGAACTAACTTCTTTTTAATTTCAAACAGGTATTTTTTGCATCCGTGCGATCTGGAGGAAGTAGCCAAGTGTTTTTCATGACCCTCAACAGAAATTCCATGATGAACTGGTAACAGAAGAGCACTTGGCACTTGTCTTCATGGTGTTGTTTCTAATTAAAAAGAACATAACTCATGTGGACTTAAGCCAGTCTAGAGCAGAATCAGAAGGCTTGGTTGAACATACCGATTTCCCCTTTTCCTCTCCCTCCCCCTGTCCCAGTACAGTCCACAGTCCATCTTTCAATGTTGCAGCCTGGTTGAGAAGGAGAGAAAAACGTGGCAGGAATTTCCAGGAGACCCCCAAGAATGCTGCGTTGTTTGTGGACAGATATGGACCATGTGCCCTTCGGAGTTAGGGATAGAAACAAATATTGTGTGCTCTTATGATTAAGCTGTGTTATGGTGGGTTTTGAGTTTTGCTTTTTGTTTTTCCACCTTTTTCCTTTACCCCCTTACTTTGTAAGAATGGGGAGAGAATGCATACTGAGAAAATGAGTCTGTTTTTAATTCTGTCTGCCTGCTAGCTTTAAGTATACGATATGTTGTAAAATTTCCAATTTCAAATGGTGAGAGACAGCACAATAAATGTACCTTATCTCCTTACACTGAAGGCCATAATTGCATAGTGGGGTAATTTTAGAACTCTTTTGCCTTCACCAACCCAAAAGGTTGCTTTTTGATAGCAACTGGCTAATGAATTTTTAAAAGAAAAGAAAAAATACTAGTTTTCCCCTCTTTGGGGAAATAGATTTTAAATGGCTAAACTACTAGCCTTAGACTAATAAAATCAACTACCATTTTTGTGAGTCTGACAGGCCCTATTTTTATATGGCCCTGTGCAGAATGGAATGTGTTGAATGGGATAGTAGTGCCATTGTATTGAGTTGGCTCTAGCGATTGAGGGGCTCTATAACACAACCTTCCCTCAGCTATTAGGCAACAGATCAGGGCAAAAGATGGGACGACTGATGGGGTCGGACAAAGAGAGCTTCTGGGAAACAAACTAAAAAAAAACAAATTTATATATATATATCTCCATATATATATATACATAAATATATATATATATACACACATTCTTTTTTTAATGCACAAAGCCTCTAGCTAAGAGGTCACTGGCTTCGGGCTTCATTAGGAGTGAGACTGTTGAGTTCTTTCTGGGAATTGGGGCATGAATGACATCCAGACTCTGGTCCTTCCCAGCTTTCTCCTGAGGGTGCCACTTTCTCAAGATGAAAACTGTGACTGAAAAAATAATAATAATAAATGTTTCTGAGCTGCCTGTGTTCTCTCTGGGTTGGTGAGAGAAGGGACTAGACTACTAGGCCTGCATGAGACACAGCAGGCCGCACTGGTTCAGAGTTTATGGAACTTAAAAGCAAGGCTTTGGCCGGAATTCTGAGACCCTGATCATTTTCCCTTCCTCCAAATTACCCAACATACGGTAAACAACATTTGTGCAGAGATATGTATGTATTTAGTTCAGGTTGACTTGTGTCCTTATAAACTCTTACTCGGATGATTTGAACTTTTACGTGACTGTCTGGGGTTTTTTTCCAAAGCTACAAGCATGGCTGCCTGTGGTATCGAGGTGTTGCAAAACGATATCTGTGTTGCGCTTCCTGTTTCAACCTACCTCGTTTCGTTTGTTTTCACTGTTCATCACAGCAGTGTTATCTCCAGGAGACATATAGAGAGCTCAACTGGCAATCTCAGGTGTAGTTAATATTTTTTAAACAAAACAGTAGTTGACCAAATTGTTCTTCAAAAATTAAAAAAAAATCCAACATCGACAAAAACTAACGCGGTTTCTGAAAAAAGCAATTACTGTAAAGAGATTTTTTTTTAAAGTCTGTGATCCTACTGATTTTTGCCTAAATACGTTAGCAGCTGATGTACTATTAATGAGAACGAAATAGAAGTTAGGAAAATGGAACCAATTCAATCTGGTGGCTTGGGCAAACGGGGGAAGGGCAGGGGAATTATTGCAGTTTCTGAAGTAGATGATTATGCCTCTCCTGTAGAGGGGGTTATCCTTTGCATTTATTTTAAGCAGATAACGCACAATAATGGAATTGAGGATTATCTTCAGGCCATCACCAAGATGTCCTCATCACGGTCCCTTTAGCTCTCAAAAGCAATGAAATCCTCCCGTTCTCATTTTTACTGCTATGGATCTGCTGCTGAACAATACTATCTTCACAAATTCCATGCAACAAATTTCAGCAATAACTTTTTGGATTGAATTTAGCAACTACTGTAATTGGATGCTGACGTGGACAAAATATATTGATTTGGGTCCCATCCCCAAATGTGATTGCCACCAGTTCTTTATATTGCTGCTGTGGTATTTTAAACCAGAAGCTTCTTTAAATTATGTTGCAAACTGATCTTTGTTTTTATGTTATGTTTTGTTTTGATTTCTAAGTGATGAGTTCGAAACACACAGCTTTAAATGATTTTTTTATTGTGAGATTTTGGGTACAGTTAAGAAATAAAAGGGAATCATTGTGTTTAAACATAAGGTAGTTTGTGAATGTATTTTTTAAAATCTAGAGTCATTGAAACAAAAACTCATAAAAACAATATTAATGCAGTCTTGTTTACAGTATGTACAGTGACATAACATAGAACATGAGCTTTTTCTGGTGCCAACAACAATAAAACACAGACGTTAAACATCAAGCCATGCCTTTTATATTTTTGTACCAATATTTTACATGGGGTACAAGGCAAAACTAAATTTAAAAGGGCCCCTAACAAAGCTGTCTTCCTTAACAGATATCTAAAGAATTCCTTGAAGCTTTTATCTTCAAAAATACATTTTCTTCCATCAGGACAAACCCCAGCCCTGATACACTGATACCCCGGTCATGCAGAGTATTTCAGACTATTGTTCTTATGGCTCATAACAATTCCCAACTTTCTGGTTTGTTTTCTTTCTTTCTTTTTCTTTCTTTCTTTCTTTCTTTCTTTCTTTCTTTTTTATTTCTTTCTTTCTTTCTTTCTTTCTTTCTTTCTTTCTTTCTTTTTTATGGTGGGAGAAGGGTTGTGCTTTTCATCCATCTTAATAGCACCTTAATAAAAATTTCTTTAATTTTGAAACTAGTTAGTTTCAGTGTTTAGTTTTAGTTCTTCCCAGAGGGGATTTTGTTTCTGGAATTGGCTCATTTTATTTTTGTTGTTCTACAAAGGGAAACTGAGCCCTCCCCCCAAAGTAAGTTTTGCTAGATCTTTTCAGTCCTTATTGCTCTAAATTTGATAATCATCCATAAAATCCACGGAGCCTGCCCAAACCATAGTCTTGGCCCAGGTTCTGACAGGTGACCATCATTCTAGGGTGCCAGTCAGGGGAACTGCAGTATGGATTCCTGCGTCCGGTGGGTGGTAGAAACAGATGACCTCTAGGATCTCCGTTTGAATGGTGAGAGCCCTCCCCATGCCAGTTACGTCCCGACCATTGCCAGTGCACACAATATGAATGAAGACAGCTTGCGCTAAGTTCCACACAGAATTAATGGCTCTGTTTACATAAATGTCATTATTTTTCTTGACTTTTAAACGCTGCTTCAAGAAGACCTAGAGCCATTAAAACAGTATAGATCAAGGTCCTGAGGAAATCCCACAAGGCCACCTGGACAGGGACTCCATTTTTCTAACACAATGCCATTGCTTTCTAAGATACACGTCTCACATACTTGGCATCAAGTACACATTTTTAAAAAGCATCTTCATTCCTGGTTGTCAAGACCTACTAACAGTTTTCTGTCTGCTCTTGTGACTCATTGGTCATTGGTGTCTCTGGTCCCTCTTGTGTGGTAGATTAGAAAGATATGTGAAAGTCAGGTCAGAGCCCTTTTGGTTTTGTCCGCTGCCAGACAAAGAAGTGCCTGAAGTCTGACCTCCCATTCCATGAAGTTAAAAAAAAATTTTTTCTTTTCTTTCCTATTATGTGTACCAGTTCCCGTCACTGTATTCTGGAAATGTGGAAGAGCTCTTTGTGTCAGTAGTGTGTGCTGTCTTTGGAAGTCTGCTTGAACAGGCATCCCTGCATTTGTGCTGATTGCTTTCAAATATAAGATGTGCTACCTTATTTTTAAGAAAGAAAATAAAATTTGTTTTAACCCACTGGAGGAAAACAGGAGAAATATCCACAACACACTGATAACAATTCTGAATCATCCTCCCAAGCCCCTGATGTTCCAAAATCCTTTCTGATACTATGTTCTGGCCATCTCAACAGTTTCTGTGAATTATCAGTTACCTTTTAGTTCATTCCTCAAAAATTTGAATCTGACCAAATCAAATGAAGCATAACAAACAAATCTATAACTGGCCTCCCTTGAGACAACATAGTTATAACATAAAATCCAGAAGTCCAAATGTGATTTCATTTACCTGCCAATATTTCTCAAATGCCACTACATTTTGGCTTTGCTGAGTATAGCGGTATCTGGAGCCCTAAGGTGTGCTGTCCTTTCATGGGTCTCAAAATGGTATAAACTGAACTGTTTTCAGAAGCCCCAGCAAAGAAGAAAATCCCTTGAGAACTTTCAGGTTCAAAATTAACCATTCGGACATTTCTACCAAGCATTTTCTAGGGTTGATTTCCATACTGTATCATTGTTCTGGGAATTTTTCCACAGGCAACTAGAATATTCAAAACATTGCATCGTGGTAAGCTGTAGGGGACCCTAACTCTGCTGTGATCTTTATTTTTCTAAGCCTGCCATTCCAGGAAGTGCCAGAATGCACCAAAACTAAACTCCCCATAAAACTGTGCTCTTAAACAGAAGTCCCTGGATACGTTTTTGAGATATTTTAAATCCAGATCAAAATCCTGGACCCTATGTCCATGAGACCAAACATTTGGGTGAAGACTAAAAAACACAGAAATAGAAATGTTCTAAAAGATTACAGATTTTTTGCTTTGTGTAGGTATCTTCCAACTAACTCACCTCCTTGCATGATAGTTTGGTTTTGATGGTTTGTTTTTATCCTCGGTGCGTGACATTGCACTGCTGAGCCTGAGCAAAGGCTGGTGGAGAGGTGAGTTTTCATTTCCAGCAGTGGGTTATTATGTGTACATAGCAAATAGCCATGCCCCAGTTGCCCCTTCCTCTTAATCTCTTCCCCTGGCGTTAGTGTGAAGGAATACTGTATTATGCTTTGTTTAAAAACCTCAGTTATTACCCTGAATCAGAATTTCAAATGTTAGGTGACAGCAAGAAATCACAGCAGGGGAAAAAAAAAAAATGACAGCCTGGATGAACTTTAAAATTGGATGTTGTGAAACTATTTTTGTGCATTTTAGCTGTCTTATTTACAATGTCAGCATAACTGTAGAGATGCCAAATTTACAAGATTGGGAAGGGAGACTATCATTCTGCTATGCCTACAAGTGTCTACATTGTTGAAATCTCCAGTTTTCTAAAGTGGTTCACATTGTCAGAAATATGCTGAAACTGGGTAAGTCTCACCTGTGTTAGGGTATAAAAGAAAATATTCTTGGCATATTTTCTAGTCTGAACCTTTTGGGTACTTTCCAGTATTCTTTCCCTGCATACAAAAAGCCTTCAGTTGTTGTGCATAGTTGTTCTGAGCAGTAGCTAGAAACGATTTGGTGGGTTCTAAGCCAAGGTTTTCCCATAGAGTCACTGCCACGCCTTGGAATATATTATGTCATCTCTGTCAAAGTGTAATAAAGCATTAATAGTAGTAGGATGCCTGCTTGTTCCTCATTGCCACTTCCAGACTATTATCCGTCCCTCCTAAACACCCAATGCTTTGAAGCTCTTGCCATCAACGTACAAAGTCCCTATCTACCTTCCAGGCCTCCCTTGAAGTGCTTAAGTATTTTCAGTTTTGGCTCACTGTCACTGGCTCCAACACCCCTTTCTTAACTCTTGGTGATTGCGATATCCACTTGGACAATCCTATAAATACCCAGCTTTCTTGGTTTCCTGGTCTTGTCCAATGAAACATATTACCAATTACTACATTGCCTCCTTAATTCATAGCAGGTGGCTCTTCCTATTTGCTCTGGGTAGCTCCCCTGCAACCTCACCAAATAAAGGCCACTGGCCCAATAATTCCTTCCCTCTCCTGCATCCCCATTTTCCCCCATCCCATTGGAGGATTTCACTACATTCATGCTGGTATCTCTTGTCTTATAAACACTCACCTTGACCACCTTACCCTAACTACCATCTTATTTATCTGCTCCCCTTCAAAGAAAAACTCCTCAGAGGGAATTATGTATACTTAGTGTCTTCAGTGACCTTGGTCTCTTGAACCAACTTAAATCAGGCTTTCATCCCCACCATAATAGCTATTGCTAAGAAAAATGTGATCTCCATGCTGTTAAATGCAATGGTTAGGTCTCTGGCTTCATGCTTTTGACTTCTCGGCAGTCTTGAACACAGTTAATAACAAATTCCTTCCTGAAACACTTTCTCAGCTCTGGAATATCCCTCACGTTCTCTCACGTCTCTGGCCACTCATTCTCGGTCCTGGAGTGCCCAGCACTGGACATTCCCTCTCTAAATGATCTTTGCCGGTGTTGGGACTCTATCCACTGAAACACCCACATTTTTAACTCTAGCCCTAACCTCCTTCCTGAATGCCGGAGTTCTATGTCTAACTTCTTACTTGGTATCTTCATTTGGATGTCTAGTTGGCATCTCCAACTCAACACATCCAAAACTAAACTAATTTGCACCCCACCCACCATTTTACTCCCATCACATACATCCTGTGTCAGTAACAACAACTCCATTCTTCCAGACCAGAAAATCTTGTAGTTACCTTTAAATTTTCTTTTTTACATACCACATACAATCCATCGGGGGGGGGCAGGGGGGGTGGAATCTGTTTTTCCTCGCTTCAGAATATACCCACAATCCATGGATGTATGAGTCCATGCCACATCTTGCCTGGGATGACACTTTTAAAAACATATAAAAGTTATGGTACTTTTCTGCTCAAGTCCGCAATGTCTTCCCAACTCCCAATGCTTACATTCACTCTAAAGCCCTCATAAATCTGACCTATCCTTTGCCCCATTTCCAACCACTACTACCACTTCTCTGACCTCATCTACCTAGTTCATTTGCTCCACCACACTGCCCTTGCTTTTTCCAGAACACTCTCAAGCGTGCTCTTGTCTCAGGGTCTTAGCCCTGGCTGCTTCCTCTGTCCAGACATCTCTTCCCCCACACCTCTGCATGACTCGCTCCTCCTTTCCTTTAGGTACCTACACAAATATTCTTTTACTGTCAGAGATGTATATAATCTCTAATCACCCACTCATTTTCTGCTTTATTGCTTTTCATAGAACTTATCAGCATCTACTTTGTTCATTGGCCTAGCTCCAGTACTTTGAAGAATAGCTGGCAAACAGTAGATGTATTTATCGGATGAATTAATGAATGAAGGAAAATAAACAATAGCAGAGTTTTGGCATTAAAAAAAGCTACAGAACTATATGGTCATTTTACTTCAATATCAAAACAAAAAGCTGTGTCCAAAGTTCATATCATAAAAGCATTGGTTTGGTTTCATGTAGAAAACAGAAAACCCTATGATTTTCTTTCCTGGAAGGCTATTGTGGATGGAAAACACCTGACTGTGATTCTGGCTGTACTTTCTCCATTAATCATCTTAACAGGCCAAGTTGCAGGACT